TCAGGTCTAAAGAGTCATTCTCAGCCTACATAACAGTTTCTTGGTTTAGTCTTGATTTATCTATTGTTTACTTCTATTGACAACATACTTTCATAAATAGTTTGTGCATTACTAATTCCACCTTTGCAAACACCATCTCCCAAAGCTGGTAAGTTTCATTCCTTCTTTTTTAATAATCAAAATTTTAGTGTTTCCATACATCTTGACTTCCCTTTTATGTGAAATATTTAGTGATCTTTCCAATCCATAATGATTCTTTCCTCCATTATAATCTGGAAGCCTGTAGTGTTATCATCATTCATAGAAAAAGTACCTGCACACACATGTTTATTACAGCACTATTTACAATCGCAAAAACATGGAACCAATAATGCTGCTCATTAAAACTGAACTGGGTTTTAAAATGTGGTACATATACAGGATGGCATATTATGCAGTCACAAAGAAGAACAAAATAATGGACTTTGCAGCAAGTTGGATGTATTTAGAGTCTACAATACTCAGTGATCTATCACAGACACAAAGAACTGAGCATCACATATTCTCACTCATAAGTGGACCCTGAACATTTACCACAATACTATAAGAAAGGGATTGGCAGTAGCTGGAAACTGCTAGGGGAGGGAGGAGGGGCGCACATAAAATCAATAAGGGTATCTGATCTCAAACCAGGCCAAGTGGGGACCAAAGGAAAGCCCAAACATTACTTGCACAATGACCACCTGTATATCTAATCCTGAATTGTACCCCACATCTTTAAAATAAAAAATCTAAAAAAAGAAGTTATTGGTGAGTGCCATGTGCCTGGGACCTCATCTCCTATCCAGCCAGTGAAGTTCTAGAGATGAGGATTTGTTTTTTCAGTGCACCATGCATCTTTCTTTGAACACTCTAGCTGAAAGTATATTTTCAATGAATGCTTTATGGTAATTCAAAAAGTTCACAGTGTTGACAGTCACCAAGGATTCTTGATCATAAGGTAGTTTTTAAGTATCCCACATTTTTGTTAACCTCCAAATGCTTACTCATCTTAAGAGAATACAGATTCTACATAACAGTTACCCAGGTTGACTGCAGCAATGCATTTTGTAAAATGACTGAGTACTGCCAAAGCTTTTTTTTCCAAAACCTCATCATTTGTGGGTAATGGCAATGGGTTCCTCGAGTCGTCTCCATTTGGTACCCTCTCCTTCTCAATCTTTTTGAATAAAATTAACATTTTATTCAAATATAGTTAAATACATTGAATCACAATTAAATACAGTAAAGGCTATAATAGAGATTTATCTAATGCTCTCTTGTTCATTTGAACTTCATATTCTTATGAGATCTAATATAGTGATTGAAAGAGCAAAAATCCTGGATACAGAAATATTAGTCTTTAGATCCCACAAAATAATAGCTAATGTGCATTTATTACTTACTATGTGTGAAGCACTCTCCTAAGTGCCTTATATGTATTAACTCATCGAGTCTTTCCAACAACCCAGTAAGATTCATATTGACACACATGTGCATATGAGGACATGGAAGGACAAAGATCACTTGAGGTCACAGAGACACTGAGCAAAGCCAGAATTTGAACTCCAATAATCTAGCCACAGAGTCGCCTTTCTTAACCTCCAGGCTAACCCTTACCTAATTAACTTGTCTGAAATTTTTCATAACTGAAAATATTGGATAAAAATACCCTCTCATTGAGTATAAAATAAAATGATAGTCTCCTACCTTTCATTCTTTTCCTGTTTTATTTCTAGAAGCGACATACATTTATTTGACTTCCTGGTTAATATCTAAGGTTTTGACCCCTTATTTTCACACACTGTAATTCTTAGCACTATAAAAGAACAAAGGAGCAGTGGCTTTTCTTTTATTGTCATTCTCTACTAATATCAGGTCCTGCATCTTAGCCAAAGAAAAATCAGCCAGTTTATATAACTGAAATGGAAAAGTTGAATTTGTTGCAGTTTATTTCAGTTCAGTTGATTTTGTAGCTGCCATGCAAAGTAATTCTCTGGTTGAAAATTTTATCTTTCGGGTTACTGATTTACCATGGCACATGACAAGTACTTAGCAACCAATAAAACCAGAAGAAATAAATATGTGACTTGATAAGAATGAAGAATAAAATATAGGTCAAATAATGTGACAATTTAATATATTACTCAGCATTATAGCACAGAGAATAAATCTTCTTTATACAACACTAGCAGGAAATGTACACAGACTTAACACCATTACAAATTGTAAAATATGTCTTGTTCTATTAAAATCCAATATTCAAGAGAGTAAATAAGATTCAATCTCCTCAAATTTCAACCACACAATGGGTTCATTATAACTTCATTCAGGAATCTATACTTGACCCATTCTATGAAAATCAAAATTGCCTATTTGAGAAACTATCTGAAGTTTTGTTCAGCAAATGTGAATAAAGCATGGTGCTACCCCATTTTGTTTTTACATCTGCAAGCTGAAAATGTATATCTTGTTTAAAACATAATTATTCTGAACAGAAATATGTCACAAGTCCCAATCAGCTGCTTCAGAACACTGATTACCTAAATATACATATTTAGCTTCATAAAATTAAGAGTTTCAAATTCAACATTATGGCTGACTTGATTTGAAAGCACATCATGTCGTGATTTTGGGTATGTGCAAGTGCAATTGTCTGTATATGTATCATATTACTGCATATTTTCACATTCAGTGAAGATGTATAAAAATTCATGACATATTTGTGTGGTGTTTTATTTAGATTTCAGTAACACATGCTAGGTTTTTTAGATTTGAACTAATTTGATTACATTAAAACCAAAATTCACTCATATTGAAACCATTTTTCTTCAAGCTGCAATATAGGAATATTGAAATATAGGATTTAGTTTCAGGAAATATATTTAATTTATTTGTGAATTTGAGTTGGGATTTATGTAATTCCCTTCCTAACTTTACTTTGAATTTAATAATTTTCAAAATTGTTGAAAAGTTGTAAGCACACACAAATACATACACACAAATATGATGGAACAATGCAATTAATCACATTATTATTAAAAATTTTAAAGGCTTATATTACTTTGCATTAAACAATTTTACATTCGTGAGACACTGTATAGTCTGTACTCTCCAGACACTTTCTGACAGTAAATGGGGACTTATTGGAGAATATTGATAACTTCTCAGTTTATATGGATACCAGTTAGACTAGATTGCTTTAGTGCCTCATCTAATTTTGAGTTCTCTTTTACTCAGCTTGGAAGTTTATGTCTTTCACATTTCTGAGGTTTCATATAGTCTCGCACACTCTTGTAAGGGGCAGGAAGTTGATAGTAACATCAGAAGTAAAAAGACTATATCAGTCATTCAAATGTACGTAAGCGAACAAGTGAAGAAGTGGGATTTAAACTCTGTCTTCCATCTCGGTTCCCAACTCAGTGTTCTCTGCTCCTCAAGTCTCCCCATGTCATCTTCACTATGTTTGTATTGTCTTCTCCAACAGAATATTTTCCTAAACTTTCTTTTTGTGATTGTACTACGGAAAGCATTTCAAGGTCTTAAAATGTGTAAGTTTCAGGAACATGTGCAAGACAACAAGAAATTGAATTTTTGAATAAAGGCAATTTTTTCAGTTTCTTATAGTCTGCTAATTACAATGGATCATTCATTCATTGTTATTAAATATTTCTTTCAGTAAGAGATCGGAAAATTAAGTTTTATTTCCCAGGATCCCTTTCCTCATAAAACTTAAAAGTCAGTAGAGAACATAAGACCAAATTGATATGATGATATGAAAACCACTATGCTCTAAAATCCAATGTACATGATATTTATTATTTTTAAAAAGTGAGAGTTTACAACATTCATTTGACCAACATGCTTAACTAGTACTCTAACTGCAGCTTTTCTTGTATTTTTAGGGACACCTTACTGGAACTTTTCTTAATATCATAAATTATCCTAACTGAAGTAAATGTTGTATTGTTAAATAATCTTGGTAATGGCACCTATAATTTAAAAATAGAATAGAACAAAATAATATAAATCATACCAATTAGTAAAGTAATATTACAAAGCATATGACCTTGCATATATAAAATAGTTATATAATCAACTAGTAACACATTCCATAGCTTCCTGAATGATTGCATCTCACTGGAGTCATTTAATTTATCAAAAAAATGTTGGTTTAAAATTATAATCACCTTTTCATCAATCCACTGTATTACCGATGCAAAAGTCTATACCAATATAAATATTTTATCAATATTATGCATATTTTGTTTTACTTTTTTACTTTGAAGCCCAATTTGTTTTAGGAGTAGGTTAATTCTCTAATTTTAGTTCAAAGAGCAGGATTTAAAATTTGAAACTGTTATCTGGGTAAGACAAATTTTTAAAGCTTTAAAATTCAACAAGAAATACAGGAAACAATGGAAACAGTAAACATTCAGCTAAAACCAAGGATTACTTTGGGCTCCCTAGATGTCAAAGTTCTGCTGGGAAGATCAGCATTCAACCCTTTTCAGCTATGTGCAGTTCTAGAAGTTGACAAATAAGTTTGTCTTTTGAACATAATGCAGGAGGAGAATCAGAAGCACTGGGGAAAGTACAGGTAATTAGGATGTGCAGCACAATCAGTAGTACTCGAATGGTCTGAAATTATTTCTTGAGCCTCACTGATTGCCATATCAACCCCTAAAGAATGACATGAAAACAAGGGAAAACGAGGTCTAGAATGTCTTTTCACATGTATCTAGTAAAACTGAGGACAGAGAAGTGCCTGAAAGACCAACATAAATAATTTGAATGTGAACATTTCTCTGAACCAATGATTCCTTTTACTGTGTGGAAATGAATACACGTCACAATTTTTATTTAGTGTCAGAGGCAGTGCAGCTTGTGTTACAACTCAAAAGAGAAATACTAAAGTTAAAAAAAAAAAGAAGATGGTGCTGAAAATAAACATGTTCAGCAGCCATTGTGATTCCACTTACCCAGATGTGCTTTTCATGAGATGGAGAAGGATGGATGGAAAAGAAAAGCACACAAATGTTAATGGATACATTTCAATCCAAAGAAAGCCATGGAATAAAACAAGAGCATTATTTCAGATGTGAGAAAGCTCAGATATGAGAAAGACATGGTGCCTTTTTTTTTATTTCACCATGACACACATACTCACTGTGTCCAATAGCATGGTCAGGCTGAGGGAAGTTCTAATTGTTGACCAATAAGTCTGTATCTTGAGTATGAGTCACTCTGAAACATGCATGACCACATTTTCCCAGCCTCTAGTACATCCCAGGAGAAAATCAAGGCACTTTGGTAAAGAACATTCTTTACCTTGAGGCACTCTGTTCCATGTTACTTCACAAATAGAAACAACCTAGTAAATGGCACTTCAATTTTATTACAGCCACAGAAGCTTACTACTAAGGTTCAAGAAAAACAACAGCAGACCTCTAGACAGGCGGCAGCTTGAAGCAGAGAAAGTACTAGTTTGAGGCTCAGAAAACCTGAGGTTCAGTTCTCATATGCAGTTTGATCAAAATTACTAAGAGGCTTTTTTTATCTTCAATTTCCTCAACATAGTCTTTGGCAAGAAGACATTTAGAGTCCACTCCAGGTCCACAGTTTTATTATCCTAACAAGTGCCAAATTGATAATTATTTTTGCACATATGTGCCAGTAATCAGAACATGAGAATGTGTAAAATAATTCTATGACTCTTTGTCACCACCTTACTCCTCCATTTAAACTGGCACCATAAATGTTAAGTTTATTTCCATTAGACTCTCTCAATAGAAGCTTTTATTTATTTGAACATGAACTGATAAATGTTGCTTTGAGAAAAAAAAACAACCATATTGGTTGAAATCACCACTAAAACAACATTGATTTAAATGTAACTTTTGAAGTATCCACTTGCACCCTGGATGTAGTAGAGGCATTGAGAAAATACGGAAGTTAAATAATTCAACAGAAATCCATGAGAATATTATTTAAAAATTTCTATATAAGCATAATACTAATTATTAGAAAAATAAAACTGTTACTAAAAACTCATAAAAATATATTCAATATAACAAAATATGAAGCAGAAATTCATATCTCAGAAATTAAGCAAGTTAGAGCATTTATTTTTAATTGCACGACTATTATAAAGAAAAGATTGACTTGCAATGGAACACCCTGCACGTGCCTCCTCTAAAGGCATTCATTCAGAGAAACCATGTATTTTTAAAATTAAATTGGAACTTTGAAAAAATACATATTTTTTGGCCTTAACCCCAGAACATCCGTGGCAAGCTCTTTACATTTTCACATAAACAAAAACATAAATGCGCCTAAAAATTTGCATCAGTATGTCCTAAGAAATTTCAGTCATATTTTTTCATATCATACATGCAACAGAAATAAAATTAAGACCAAAAGAGACAATTTTTTAAGTGCTTAAGAATGATTTTCTTGTCAACATACCTGTGAACACTATGAAGAGCTATGAAAAGAAAAGCAATTTCTGATCTTTCCAAGAGAATTGCCAAAACCATTTATCATCATGGACAAAATTATCTTTTTTAGTCTACCAGCTATCTAGGAACAACTTTTCTATAAAACAAGTTGATTACATTTGCATACAGTGAAGTATTAATATTACTCAAATCTTTATCTTTTTTTTTTTTTTGAGTCAGGGTTTCACTCTGTTGCCCAGGCTAGAGTGCAGTGGCCTGATCACCAGTCACACCCTTGACCTCCTAAGCTCAGGCAATCCTTTCTCCTCAGTCCCCTGGAATAACTGGGACTACAGCCTTGTGCCACCACGTCCAGTTAATTTTTTTATTTTTATTTTATTTTATTGCAGACACAAGCTCTCACTGTGTTGCCTAGGCTGGTCTTGAACTCCTAGCCTCAAGCAATCCTTTTGCCTTGGCTTCTCGAAGTGCTGAGATTACAGGCGTAAGCCACCATGCCTTGCCTATTTGGCATTTTTTAAAATGGGACATTTATACCAATGAAAATACATTATCATAAAAAAATTAAGAGAAGTTATAAAAATAAACAGGAAACATATAAATCTATATTTAAAGGATATTGCTCAAAAAACATTGCTCAAAGTTCTAATATTTTTGTGCTATCAATTTGTATAAGTTGTCTTTCTCATTGTTTTTTATAAGATTTCTTCTCTTCTTTAGTACATAAACTAAAGAGCAATATTGAGCAGCTATCTCATTTTGAGATATTAAGATTTTCAGCTCATGACTTTCAAGCAAGCATGTTCTGCAAAGCACAAAAATCTATGTCATAAATGTCTCAGATTCTGTGGTAATATATTATAAACTTTATATAGAAGGTAATATATATTTGTAGATAGGTTCTTTTCCTGGACAAAGTGTTACATTATTTTCTGTAGTCATTTATTTACAGTAAAAAGTAACCTCATTATTCTTTTTCTCTCTATTCCAGAGTGTCAAGGCCATGATAATAGTAAGAGAGGTTCTGTCAGGAATAAATGTTCTTCAGTTAAAGACCACTGTAAGTAATAGGCAAATGAGTTTTAATTGACATGGAAAAGAACAGGCTATGTTATCATATAATGAATAAGTTCAAATCCAATTATTGGCATAATATCTTTCTTGGGAACATCAGTATACATCTGGACATGAGAAGAAGATATTTTCAGCTGATATATGTCTCATATTCCAAAATAAACTTCTTAACTGTTGAATAAATAAACTATTTCATTGTCTCACTTTAACCTTCCAGACCTCCTATGAAGTGAATAGACCTTCACTTGTTTATAAAAACTAGTCAATTTTAGAATTAAAACTTTAAATGAGAATCAATTTACTAAATGAAATTCATATATGGAATAACAATTGCCTCTTGCTTCATAAGGTTCAATTTTGTTATTCTATTAACAGCAAATTGAGTAGTGAATGAATGGTAACTGGAATGAAAAGTGAAATGAAGAAATAATTTCTTTAATAAGTGAAATAATATTTCAATGCTGATTAAAAAAAAGACCAGAGCAAAAGTTGAAATTAGTATAAGAGCAAGAGGAAATCAGTATAAAATGATGAAGAAAATGGGAAGAGATAATCTTGAGTAAGAACAGAGTAGCCTGGTTTTCTGTAATAAGATAGGGTGGGCTGAGTGTTAGTGTGTATTAGGTATCTTAAAATAATTCAGGACACTTGGATAGTTTCTTTCTCCTTCTTCTTTTTTAATCTCTCTCTCTCATAGAATGTAAGCTCATCAGCAGAAGATGCAAGTTTGAGGACAGTTAAAGTCTCTAACAAGAGTTGCAGAGAGTAGAAAGAAAACTAGTGAAAGAAAAATATATTGGGATAACTGGACACTGCTGAATTTCCAAATTAAACTAATTCAAATTTCCCAGCTGTAATTTTCTCCATCCATGCAGATGTGCCCAAATGTACTTCTGGATAAAGAAAATTTATTGGTGGCTGTGGTTACACCATGTAGATGTGACAAAATGAAAGTAAAGAAATTTAGAAATTTTTAGTGACTCGAAATTATGAAAATGGACTCTAAGCTAAATAAAGAAGGAGAGGACACAAAGTAGATAATGTACTGGGAAAAGATAGAGGTTAAAAAAAGAGGATAGCGGAAAATGTCAATCAAGCAAAGTGAAAGGATGGAAGACTGAAAAGGAAGGACCGAGAAGCCTGACTTAGTAAGTATGGAAGAAGAATGATTCGCAGTGATGACAAGATTCAGAATATGACCATGAGGAGTGTTTAATTTGGGGTAGAAAATGACACTGTAAGTGATGAAGTCATAAAACCAAAAGGTTAGTTTGTGAATGGGTGATCTGTTTGGATATAAGAGCATCCCAGAGTGATGGCAAGAATTGCTTAAAATTCCCTCTTGAAAACAGATATATAAAGATGAATAGTCAAACGCATTTTAGTGATCCTTATAAAAGATGCAAAGTAGTTCAGAAGTTTTAAGTATGGTTCATCATCACACTACCAACAACTTTTATTTGATTTAACGCTGATTTCAAATTGCTAAAGTATTTGAGACTTTTCGAAAGAGGTCAAGAAATCTTTATTCTTCTAAGAATTGTATTATTCATTTGCTTAGCAAGCTTAACAAAATTAAGCCCCAAATTAAAATTTTAGCTATGTAAAATTTGAACTAAAGGCATTTAATTTTATGTTTATACATGTGTGTGTAAAAAATTTAATATAACACATATGCATCTTAAATGGAAAGTTTCTTTGTATTAAACTTTTCTTTGTAAAATCTTGGTAAAAGGACATAAATAATCATTGCCCTTCTTACAAGTGTGGAAACAAGAGATGGAAGTTTACTTCATAACTAGCTCATTTGAATAACTGTGGAAGAATTCAAATCTTCTAAGGTTTTATGAAAAAAATTATGCAGAAATTATATATATAGGAAGGCATAGTACATTTATTAGTGAGAACAAATGTGAAGAATTATTTTAGATTTAAGATGTCTACATTCTATTTAAAAGTACCATAATTGGTGATTTTTTTTATTTAAAAAGGGAACTTAATTATTCTTGCTATTAGATGCTTTCTTGTAATTTTTACTTGAATGAATAATTTAGATTGATTTAAGCACACATTTAAATTTCTTACATGGCTTGTTTGTTAGAAATATTACTGTTATTTTATCAATAACAGAATATTAAATGTGGCTGATTATGCCAGAAAAAGACATTTCTGTAACACAACCACATCCTATGTTTTGAAATTATCCCCTTCCCAACTCCCACTGTGACCCACTGCTAATAAGGGTTTTAGGTTTAAATTTACTTGTTACTCATTTTGAAGGTAGTGTAGGGACAAATAAGTAACTAATTATTCTGTAGGGGAAAAATTATGCTACCCTTTTCAGAGTATCAAAAGAATGAGAAATTCTTTATTCACTCCCTATATGATCATTAAAAATTATATAGGGCAAACAAAATGAAGTTGAGACTGGACTACATACTCTTTAAATCACGGCC